TCAACTTCCATGCATTGCTTATTTAAAAATAGTTCCTTATCTCTTCTGGCTAACCTCTGGAACTGCGCATTTCATTTTAGAAAGTTCAAAATGCTGGGCGAAAGGCAATATAAGTTAAACAAGAAGTAAGTAAGTAAATAATAACACATTCCGATACCAAAGCCATGCAGGAGCAGCTTCTTTCATTCCGTTCCATTTCAAAATGAATGAGTACATTAGGAGGGGGAAATCCGCACGTAGTTTTGCAATTGGTGTGAGATTTGGATAACAGAGCCAAAGCAGTGTAGTGTTTTGAGTACTTGATTATGACTCTGGAGACCAGGGTTCGAATCCCTGTTTAGCCATGGAAACCCACTGGGTGGCTTTTGGCGAGTCACGCTCACAGCCTCAGAGAAAGGAACAGGGGGAAAACCTCTTTGAAAAGATCTTTTTTTTAAATTTATTTACAGTATTCATATACTACTTTTTTCACCCCTGGGGGATCAAAGCAGTTTACAAAAAACAATGGCAAAATTCAATGCCTTACATACACAAACCAAATCATAAATCAAACAACATAGGACTAAACATAAAATACAGCAGGACAAATTCACCATAAGATAATAGGACATTTAACATGAAGTGTGCAAATTAAAAACACCTAATAAAAACATTAAAACCAGATGATCCAAACTTGTAGACCAGACCATTCCAGTTACTTTATTACTAGTCAAAAGCTTGGTTCCATAACCACGTCTTTCTTCTCTTTCTAAAGGCCAGGAGGGAGGGCGCTGATCTAATCTCATTCAGGATAGTTCTAGAGTTGAGGAGCCACCACTGAGAAGGCCCTGTCTCTTGTCCCCACCAACCGCACTTGCGAAGCAGGTGGGGCTGAGAGCAGGGCCTCCTCAGAAGATGTTGACCTCCGTAATAAGGCTGCTGTGGATTACTGAAATTTGGAAATGACTTGAAGGTGCACAACAACAAAGCCTTCAAGTTAATTCTGACTTAGAGCAAATCTGAGATTTTCTTGGCATAATCTATTTTAGAAGAGGATTGCCATTGCTTTCCTCTGAGACCGAAAGACTGTGATGTATCCATGGTTATACCTTGGATTTCCATGGCCAAACAGGGATTTGAACTGTAGTATTCCAGAGTCCTGATGTAATACTCAAATAACAACACCATACTGGTTTCTTTATGTATATTTATTTTACATAAATAGTTGAAAATCTTCACCAGAATATTATAATTCCCTCAACAGATTACACACATAATTTCACACATTCATTAGTGTTTACAACTTGGAAAACATTTTTGGGAGACTTTAATTCCATGCTACTGTTGATGTGTAGTATTCTGAAGCTTCTAGTCCAAAACAGGTACTTTCCCAAGATAGTCTAGTGTAGCTCTATGTTTTTAGGCAATCATAACATTTGCACAGGGTTGTTAATGTGTTTAGATGAATTGTCAAAGGCTTTCATGGCCGGAATCACTGGGATATTGTGAGTTTTCCAGGCTGTATGGCTATGTTCCTGAAGCATTCATTCCTGATGTTTCGCCTGCATCTATAGAAGGCATCCTCAGACCTCACAACCTCTGAGAATGCCTGCCATAGATGCAGGTGAAAGGTCAGGACAGAATGCTTCTGGAACATGGCCATACAGCCCAGAAAGTTCACAACAACCCATGTTTAGATGACATTGTTAGTATATTGGAGTCACCAAGACATGCTCTACAATTTGATTAAGTTTTGCTATTCTTCTGCAAAAACTGGCTGGTGATGGGGCACAGTGGTAGAGTGGGGGGGAAATCACCCACATCCACTCACTATATACTTCTCATATGCCTTTACATGCAAAGAAGTCAGCACACAGTTGTATTTTAATTGACCGACACACAAGTGAGGTTTAAGTGTTCTGCACTAAACGGATTTAGTCTCTAAAGGTATACTGAAATGCCTGTGATTTCTACAGCAATCTGACCATGTTATTAAAAGGAGGAACACGAAAGGATTATTAGTCTTGGCTCTGTCTAAGCAACAGCTAATGAACTGATACAATGGAGCATGTGTTCTGGCTGAAATAGATCTTGTACTGAAGGATAAGGCAAAACTTTATCAGGTGGGTTTACTTTGGCATAACAACTTTGTTTATAAAAAGAGGCTAAGCATGGCATGGATTACCCACCATATAGCCTTCTCCACTCCACTTGTCACCCATCACAGGATCACACACTGCAAGAGAAAATTCATATTAATTGCAAAGGTGAGAAGCACTACTGCAAAGGAGTATTTGAAATGTAATCAGCACAGGACCACAACAAAAATTGCTAAGAAAGAAATTTCTATTTTTTTTAACCTGGGAGAATACTTATGCAGGAATTTCTAAGTCTTCCAGCATGACTCTATGGTCAACTTTCACTGGAAGCTGACTACAGAATCACATTAGATGACCTATGGATGCCTTTAGAGGTGTTCTCTTTAGAAATATCGAGGTCCTCCAGCATGATTGAAAGAAGTTGACCATAGGGTCACAGCTGGAGAAACTAGAGATTCCTAGAGAGAACATGTGTAATCCAAACCATGAATAAACAAATCTGCAACCAATAAATCCACAAATATGGAGGGATGACTATATTCATAACAACCATAATGTTCCCAGTCACATGTCTGAGTAATGTATGGATACAAGAAGTTATTATTAGTCTAAGCTAAGAAGTTGATCTCTGCAAGTACTAATTGTATTTTAAAAAATCGAAATAATTTTTGTTTTTATCGAAAGACAAAGAGAGCTCAATTACATCATTTCATCACTTGATTGTCAGGGAAAACCTTCCTCAAACCAGGCCATTCAAACAATCACTAAACACAGACCCTCTAACAATGTGTTGTTGAAGGCTTTCATAGCCAGAATGACTGGGTTGCTGTGAGTTTTTCAGGCTGTAATGCCATGTTTCAGAAGCATTCTCTCCTGACGTTTCACCCACATCTATGGCAATTATCGTCAGAGGTTGAGGGATCTGTTGGAAACTAAGCAAATGATATTTATATATCTGTCGTATGTCCAGGGTGGGAGAAAGAACTTTTGTCTGCTTGAGACAAGTTGGAATGTTGCAAACAGCCACCTTGATTAGCATGCAATGGCCTTCCAGCTTCAAAGTCTGGCTGCTTCCTGCCTGGGGGATCCTTTGTTGGGAGGTGTTAGCTGGCCCTGATTGATTCTTGTCTTGAATTCCCCTGTTTTTTTGGGTGTTGCTCTTTATTTACTATCCTGATTTTCGAGTTTTTTAAATACTGGTAGCCAGATTTTGTACATTTTCATGGCTTCCTCCTTTCTGTTGAAATTGACCCTCTAATATTTCATGGATGAAAATTGGGACATTGGGAATGTGAGACTACAGCAGTTTGCTTTTGCCTGAGCGCACTGGGAAAGGAAGGAGTTCACTCTCTCTTCTCCTTCTACATTCCAAATCCAGATGCTGCAAATGAAATAAGATGAGGGCAAAGGGGAAAAGTGGGCAAAAGAGAGAGAAATCTGGACATAAGGAAAACAGCTAACGGAGGACTAATCCTGCCAAATCAGGACAGTTGGCACATATGCTAACAGTGTCCCTAAAGCTACTCAAAACCCTACAAGATCGCTAAATAAAGTTGAATCAGCAAGGCCTAATTTAATAGCTCAAAGATAGAAGGCAATATTTATGCATCAAGAATAACACTTTTTTCAATGTGCTAACAATTCAAATGTTTTCTGGTTCTCTAACATCCAGATGACTCTTTCACACCATACAGATAAGTCAATGCAATGAGGGATGGACTGCCATGTCTCACTGTAACAAAAGGATATCAGACTCCAGTTGTCGGATGACACATCCATGTGTCCTTCTATTATCACCACAGCAAATGCACCTTCTGTCATCAAAGTCAATCTCATTCCCCGGCACTTTTCTCATTTGCTCTTCACCTACTGTCTACAGGACCTCTCACTATCTTCAGAATGTATTCCAGCAACCTGGGAGATTTAGAGGCTATTTCAGGGGAATTTGCCTGATGCTTTAAAAAAAAATCTGCTGAACCCAAGCATCTCCAACTAAATCCACAAAGGGTGATGCCAACTTCTTATCAGAATAAAGCTATCAGTCAACAATGTGATGCGGCAGCTTAAAAAGCCAATGAGATAGGAGTCTAGTGTCTAGATCCAGGGAAGTCTTGCTACCCCTCTATTCTGCCTTGGTCAGGCTACACCTGGAATACTGTGTCCAATTCTGGGCACCACAATTGAAGGGAGAGGTTGACAAGTTGGAATGTGTCCACAGGAGGGCGCCTAGAATGATCAAGGAGAACAAGCCCTATGAGGAAAGGCTTAAAGAGCTGCGAATGTTTAGCCTACAGAAGTGAAGGCCTAGAGGAGACATGATGAGGGCCATGTATGTGAGGGGAAATCATAGGGAGGAGGAAGCAGGCTTGTTTTCTGCTGCCTTGGAGAATAGGATGTGGAACAATGGCTTCAAACTACAGGAAAGGAGATTCCACCTGAACACGAGGAATAACTTCCTAACTGTGAGAGCTGTTCAGCAGTGGAACTCTCTGCCCCAGAGTGTGGTAGAGGCTCCTTCTTAAGAGGCTTTTAAACAGAGTCTGAATGGCCATCTCTCGGGGGTGCTTTGAATGCAATTTTCCTGCTTCTTGGCAGGGGGTTGGACTGGATGGCCTATGAGGTCTCTTCCAACTCACTGATTCTACAATTCTCTGATAAGCTTTCAAGTTAGATAAATATTGCAACCAGTATTTTAAAAAGTAAATTCTAAAGCAAAAGTATTCTCCTAAATTCACATTAACCATGTACGAAACAGTGTTATTTAATAGTTCATACAGACTTCAGTACTGGTATTCAATACTCCATAAGGTAAAGGTTTCTCCTGATATTAAGTCTAGTTGTGTCCAATTCTGGAGTGTGGTGCTCATCTCAATTTCTAAGCCGAAGAGCCAGCATTGTCCGCAGACACATCCAAGGTCACGTGACCAGCATGACTGCATGAGGTGCCGTTACCTTCCTGCAGAAGTGGTACCTATTGATCTACTCACATTTACATGTTTTTGAACTGCTAGGTTGACAGTGGCTAACAGTGGGAGCCCACTCTGCTCCTCAGATATGAGCTGTCAACCTTTTGGTCAGCAAGTTCAGCAGCTCAGCAGTTTAACCTGCTGCACTACCAGGGGGCCCAATCCTCTATATCTCAAGGCATACTAAGGTTCATGGTGGAAGAACAAAAGAGTCCAACTGGGAAGCATGAGTTATTGTGTTTGGGGTGGAGATTTGAAAGGCTCTGAAATACAATTATTTTTAAAATTCACAATAAAGCACTTTTTAAAAGATAGGATGCCCTAAAGAAACTTACCATACACCAGGTTGGAGTTTTGTTGTTTTAGTTCTTGTACTATGTCGACCACCATTGCAAGGAATGATTTGTCTCTTGTATAACCTTCGAAGAAAGAACAAGAGCGAGGAGGAGATTTTCAGTGAAAAGAAAACATACTTCCCTAAGCTTGGCTTCAAGATACAACACTGCTATCATCACAATTAGCATTTTACACTAACCTGAAAATTCCCTTTGCCAAGTGGGACTATTACAAGCAGCCAGAAACTCTATCAACCTATCATCATCATCCTACTTTTTTGCACATAGAACTAAGACATAGAACTAAGAATTCAACATGCGTTTTACAGTAGACAGGACTGGAATCTGGGTCCTCTTTTTCACAGGAAAAAGCATCTGAATTTATTCATATATGACTCTGACTTCAGAGCAGTAGTTGGAGTGAACCCACTTTTTCACTGCTAGGAAAAAATATTAAAGGAAGAATTGTCAAAGGCTTTCATGGCCGGAAGCACTGGGTTGTTGTGGGTTTTTCAGGCTGTATGGCCATGTTCTACAAGCATTCTCTACTGACATTTCACAATCCACAAATCCACAAGTATTTTTAAAAAACTCTAAAATTATAACAGCAAATAAAGAACAAAACTCAAACACAGGGGAACTCCAGAGAAAAAACAATCAGGCACAGCTAATCAACTCTCAACAAAGGATTCTCCCAGGCAGTAACAAGCCACACCTAAAAACTGTCAGGCCATTAAATGCTAATCAAGGTGGCCAATTGAAACATTCACACCTACCTCCAAAAGACAAGAGTTTTTTCTCCCACCCTGGATTTTCCACAGATATATAAACCCAAATTTCCTAGTTTCCAACAGACCTCACAACCTCTGAGGATGCCTGCCATAGATGCAGGTGAAACATCGGGAGAGAATGCTTCTAGAACATGGCCATACAGATGGAAAACCTGCAACAACCCATTAATGGAAGTGTTTCTCAGGTGTACTGGAAGTCACAATCATCAAGAGACGACAAACAACTTGTGGCTTTAAAAGCAAATGAGAGAAATGTATGCAACATAAGGCTATCTAATGCTATTAATTATGATGGCTAGACATTATTTCTAGTGCCAGTATGTCTGTACCAGTAATGTCTGAGGAGCAAGAAGTTGCTTTTCTCTCATATCCTGCTTATGGGCTCCTCATGTTATCTGGTTGTCCTTTATGTAGAAAAGAATGCTGGACTACATAGACTTTTGCCCTTAGTATGTCTTTTATTGTGTTCTTATCTACCAATGACCCCATTGGTGCAAAAAATTGTGCAAGGTCCAATGGAACCATCTCAACTACTTCCTACCACTATGAAATGAGAGTTAAGTGAACACAGTATGTACATGGCAGCTCAACGTTATTTCTCATGTGGCAACCTTCAACTTTAGCAGGGCTAGCAGGATGAAGTTTGGACTATCAAGAAGAAGTACAATGCAACTGCTGTAAATTGCTTTGGAAAGATTACTTGAGTAAATAATTTACACGTCTAGTAATGATTCTTCTAGTACATATGGATAACTTGCAACCTTTGACTGGTATAGCTGTTCCCTGGAATATCTTTGGGAGCTTATTCTACTTTTTTTTTCACAATACAGTTGATCAGTTCTCAGCAGGAAATCTGTTCTCAGTAGGAGCCACGGTGGTGCAAGAGGTTAAACCCTTGTGCCGGCTAGACTGCTGACCCAAAGGTAGGCATTTTGAATCTGCAAGAAGGGGTGAGCTCCTGTCTGTCAGTCCAGCTTCCCATGTGGAGACATGAGAGAAGCCTCCCACATCCAGACGTCCCCTGGGCAACATCCTTGCAGACAGCCAATTCTCTCACACCAGAAGCAACTTGCAGTTTCTCAAACCGATCCTGGCACCAAAAAAAAATGAACTAAGCTTTCTTTGTTGTGGGCGCCATCTACACTGCCATTATAATGCTGACTGAACTGGATTATATGGCAGTGTAGACTCATAAAGTTCAGTTCAATGCAATTCAATCTATATTATATGAGTCTCCACTATAATATAATACTAATAATAATACAATATAATAATTATATATTTCATTTTACATATAATATTACTAATAATATTACAATATAGTGGTGTAGTACAGTATGAGAATGTATGTTACTAATATTGTAGTATGCTAATAATATAATATATTGTATTTACATATAACTTGTAAGCCACTCTGAATTCCCTTCGGGGTGAGAAGGGCAGCATATAACTGTCGTAAATAAATAAATAAATACACTGATCATATAATCCAGTTAAAACTGGACATTATATGGGGCTGTGCTCTGACATACTTGAAAAGCCCTCCCTCCGAATACGTGGGGCTGCCCTTGAAAGCGGCCCGGAAATTTCAATTGGTACAACGGGCGGCAGCCAGGTTACTAACCAGTGCTTCTTACAGGGAGCGGCCAACCCTCCTGTTTAAGGAGCTCCACTGGCTGCTGTTCATTTTCCGGTCCCAATTCAAGGTGCAGGTTCTTACCTACAAAGCCTTGAACAGTTTGGGACCCGCCTACCTGCGTGACCGCATTTCTGTGTACGAACGATCTCTTCAATCATCTGGAGAGGCCCTGCTCGTGCTCCCACCTGTATCGCAGGCATGATTGGTGGGGACGAGGGAAATGGCCTTCTCGGTGGTGGCCCCTCGACTCTGGAACTTGCTCCCCAAGGACATCAGACATGCCCCAACTCTGGCAGTCTTTAGGAGGAGCCTGGAAACGTGGTTGTTCTAGTGTGTCTTCCCAGAATAAGGAAATACCCTCAGCAATATATCCCTAAATGCACTTTATCACTGATTTAGGAATGTCTGCGCGCCCCATCTCTACCTGAAAATTCTATCCCAGTTATATCCTACCTTGTCCATGTCCAGCATTAATTTTTTTAAATTTTAAATTATTACATTTGGCCCGGCCATAGGTTTTAAATGCTTGTTGTTATTGCTACTGTTTATTGTTTACTTTTGTTTATGAGATTTATTTTAACTGTTGTACTAATTGTTTTCTTATTGCTTTTACTGTTGATGTACTTTGGACTCGGCCTCATGTAAGCCGCACCGAGTCCCTTGGGGAGATGGTAGCGGGGCATAAATAAAGATGATGATGATGATGATTATTATTATATCCTTGCTCAGCAGGCCAACAAGAATAGATCCGTTACTATTGTTCACAATGGATCACTATTGTTCACTGATCACTATGAGCAGGAGTAAAACAGCTGTTTCCAATGAGGTTGGAATACAGAGACATTAAAACTCCTCCTTTTCCTCCAAGCTATTTGATTAATTCCTGAGGGGACAACAGTTTAATGTCTTGAATAAGGATCACTGCATTGATTCAGATGCCAGATGAAAGCCAAAGGTCATTATGAGTGGGGAATTTTGGAGTTATAGGCATAAAAAGCAACTTGTCCAAGTACTAAGAACACCGAGTGCTGCTTTGAGGGAACGTGCATTGAGTACATACTTATGTTTGCTGATAAATACAATTAATTAATTGGAAACAAAAGAGGCTTTAAAAAGAACTGAAACAACAAATCTCCCAACTGTTCAGAACGGACAAGATAGCAAGAAGGCATACCAGGTCAGCTGCTTACACTTTGTACAGGGCCCTGCTGGGAAAAATGCTCAAACATAGGGAAGCCTGCCAGCATGCTCGATCTGTATTAATACAATTTTGTAACAATAAACAGGGAAATTCTGACTGCCAAGCTTCCAGATGTCTAGGCAAGTATTCAGGAACAAGGATCATCAGGATGCGGTGGTGTAACAGCTGCATTTTAGGCCAAGACTTACTCAAAGAACCCAGGACAGAGAATAAGTCAAGCCATATCTGATTCTAATTTGCTACCCTGACGTTAAGTCTACTCATATCCGACTCAGGGGGTTGGTGCTTATCTCCATTTCTAAGCCAAAGAGCCAGCGTTGTCTGTAGACACTTCCAAGATCATGTGGCCTGCATAACTGCACGGAGCGCCATTACCTTTCTTCAGAAGCAGTATCTATTGATCTACTCACATTTGCATCTCTTCAAACTGCTAGGTTGGCAGAAGCTGGGCCTAGCAGTGGGAGCTCACCCCGCTTCCCGGAATTGAATCACCAACCTTTCAGTCAGCAAGTTTAGCTGCTCAGCGGTTTAACCCACTGCGCCACCAGGGAGTCCTTTGCTTCTGTGATAGGACTCCTTAAAAATATAGCTCTCCACAACACAACAACCCCAAATACAGACACAAAGTAGTACTTTAAATAATCTTCCGGAGTAGCTTTAGGTCAGACACAAAGGTAGGCTAAAAATTGAAAATAAAGGGTAAAAAAAAAAAACTATGGAGGTCGAAAACTATTTAGCTCGGATGGTCTTCTTGTTGTTCTTGGAATCCAAAATATTGGCCTCGGTAAGCCCAGCCAAAAGTCTAACAGTATCTTGGAAGGCTACCGATTCCTCACCCCATTTCAACTTGCTAATGATTGCAAGTGGTGGAAAAACACTTTCGCTATCCAAGCTTCAGTGACTATTTCATTATTTTGCAAATTAACATTTTCCACAGGGGGAAAAAATGAGACATGTTTTCAAAACGAATGGAACCTGTTTATGCTGAAAATTCATTGCTCCATCAGCAAAATCCCATCCACTATTATTATATATCTCCTTTACCACCAAGGATTCCATGGAAACTAGAAGAACAAATAATTTGTCAACTGTGCAATACCCTTCATGGCAAAGTACCCTTTATGGGTAATAATTCTCGACCTGTATCATTAAATTTTCTTGTTATCTCTGTCTTCAAAAATGCCTCCTTTCTTGGGGAAGTTCTATAAATCAATAGGGCAATCAATTTGATCCAACAAAGTTTAGAAACAGCTTTTTTTTTTTACTGCAGTAAGGAATATTTAAAAATGAATATTAAAAAACATGCAATGTATGCAAAGGGGTCAAAAATGTTAATGATCTGCAAAAATATATGAGAGAAAATGGTATTTTGCGAAATGAAAAGCTTGGTTTGGAGTTTGTGAGAAAGTATTTATTTTTTCCAAAAATACTGTATTTCCCTCCTTTGGCCTTACTTACTTATTTTATTTATTTATTTATTTATTTATTTATTTATTTATTTATTTATTTATTTATTTACTGTGTTTATAGACCTCTGTTCTCAGCCCAGGGGCGACTCACAGCGGTGTACAACATGGAGGGATAGGTGCAAATTACAAGACATAATCTAACAACAACTAGTAATATCAAACACATCGTCATCAACAGCATCAACATCAACAATCTCAATATCAATAATACAAAAATACAAAAAGTCATTCGCATTGTCTCATCGTTAAACCACAATCCAATATCGTTTCCGTTGTTCCATTCCTGTCGTCATTACCAATTTATTGCACTTCTAGTTCGAACGCCTTCTCGAACAGCCACGTCTTTAGTTTCTTTCGGAATGTCATCAGAGAGGGCGCCCGTCTGATTTCCGCGGGAAGGGTGTTCCACAGCCGAGGAGCCACCACCGAGAAGGCCCTGTCTCTCGTCCCCGCCAGGCGTGCCTGTGAGGCAGGCGGGATCGAGAGCAGGGCCTCCCTGGACGATCTCAAAGTCCTCGTGGGCTCATAGGCCGAGATGCGGTCAGATAGGTATCTTGGGCCGGAACCGTTTAGGGCTTTATAGGCCAACGCCAGCACCTTGAATTGAGCTCGGTAGCGAATCGGCAGCCAATGGAGCTGGTACAACAAGGGCGTTGTATGCTCCCTGCGTGCCGCTCCTGTTAGTAACATGGCTGCCGCACGCTGTACCAGTTGAAGCTTCCGGGCCGTCTTCAAGGGCAACCCCACGTAGAGAGCGTTGCAGTAGTCTAAGCGGGATGTAACCAGAGAGTGGACTACCGTGGCCAAGTCAGACTTCCCAAGGTACGGGCGCAGCTGGCGCACGAGCCTAAGCTGTTCAAATGCTCCCCTGGTCACCGCCGAGACCTGGGGCTCCAGGCTCAGCGATGAATCCAGGATCACACCCAAGCTGCGAACCTGTGCCTTCAAGGGGAGTGCGACCCCGTCCAGCACAGGCTGTAACCCTATACCCTGTTCGGCCTTGCGACTGACCAGGAGTACCTCTGTCTTGTCTGGATTCAATTTCAATTTGTTCGTCCTCATCCAGACCGTTACAGCGGCCAGGCACCAGTTCAGGACCTCGACAGCCTCCTTAGTAGCAGGTGGAAAGGAGTGACAGAGTTGGACATCATCTGCGTACAGATTTATTATTTATTTATTTATTTACAGTTCTTATATTCCGCCCTTCTTACCCCGCAGGGGACTCAGGGCGGATTACAGTCAACACATATATGGCAAACATTCAATGCCAGTTTTGACAAACAACGTTTAACACACAAATACACCAAGGCTATTTAACTTTTTTCTGGCCGCCAGGGGAGCTGCTGCTTTTCATCGTCCATCAGCGACACCGATGAAGTTCTTCCGCATTCCACATTCCCCGGAGTCTTTTTTCTTTATGGCCTCATAAATTAGTTAAATTTAGCCTCCCACACAAGGTGGTACCTTATTTTCCTACTTGACAGATGCAACTGTCTTTCGGGTTGCAAAGGTCGACAACGGGCTACACAATGGCTGGACACCCACTCCAGCCCGGGCTGGCTGGAGATGACACCGCACCCCGAAACTCCGGATGATCTCTCCCAGTGGCTTCATGTAGATATTAAACAGCATGGGGGACAGTATTGAGCCCTGT